TTAGACTCTGATTGCCAAAATGCCATTTTATACACAAAGCTGCTAATACAATATACAGTTCTTATATTTTTTTTTCACATAAAATACATTTCATCAAGTTTTATTTGTACATCGTTTACTACTGATCGATGGAATTACGAATTATTGCAGAAGGCTTGCCATCATTTGTTAATATCCTGTACATGCAGCAGTCACACCGAGCTGTACCAGGGTTACCGACGCACTGCAGTCCATTCTCACGCTGCAATCTATAGGCTGAAGATGTAGAGGTGGCAACACTAAGGCTGCATCTGCACTGTTTTAAAACCCGTATCTCCCCTCCAGCTGTGGGTGGAAGTAATTGCATTGGTGTAGGTTTGGGAACAGGTATCTCGAGCAGAGTCTCCGCTACTACAGCTTCTGCAGTTGAAATATAGCAAAATATTCTAAGTCATAATCGTGCCATGGCAGATGTTGCCTGAAGAACCCAGTGGTACTGGAATTGTGTGGGGGAACTGAGAAGTCCATTACCAGTTTGGCCAACATGAAAACAGCAGAATAAAACTGAAGAACAACCAGGGACAATAAATTCTGTTGTACAGCCACAGGCAAAACAAAATAAAAATGTAAATACTAGCTGTGTTCTGTAGTAAGAGGCTAGATCTTGCTACTACAAGCGTGTTCTGGACTCCGCTTGTAGAGAATTGCTACAACAAAGTAGGTCAACGTGATTTGTTAAATTAGAATGAAGACCCGGTGCATTTCCTTTCTGTGTATTTAGGAAGAGAGAACGGGTGATCATGAGAGAAATTGAACGAGCAAATTAAAACTTTGACATCTGGTATGCTCTGAACTGCTATCCCCTTGCAAAATAGTCTCCAAGGTAAAGAACAGCACTGTATAGTCACCACAAACCTTCCAGAGACTAGTTACTGAGTTACCTTTAGCAAGTATGATAAGGCACAGAAATACCCAGACGCAGGGAGAACACCTTCCAGCAGATGGACAACGGTTCATCTATGGCTCACTGGAGACCAGTGCTATTGCTTTCTCGGTTAAGATATTCCTAGTTTATGGTATTGCTGAGCTAGTTTCAGCAGAGAAGATTTGGGTAAACAGAGCTCCAAGATTAAAATAAAAGGACATTAAACAGAAGTTGTAATGCCATTTGGGAGCTTGTAAGTGCTTTCAACCCCATAAAATAAGACCCTGCTCAATAAACTAGAGAATTCACTGCCTTCACTGAGTATTGCACTGATTCATTATTGCTATTGCCCTGCCATGCTTTTCTCCTTCCCTACCAGGAATTCCTCATCCATGTGGTTCTTACCCACACCTGCAAGATGGTGCAGAATGACATCAGCTAGAGTCAGTTCTTCCCAAAATTGGGAGGGTTTTAAGATTCTGGAGCACCACAAAAGTGAGACTAAGTGGGCTAAAATCGCATCACTTGGTTCATGAAATACAGATCCAGGTCTGACGTCAAACAGATCCCAGCAATGGTACTTAAGCCCTTGTCTAACATTGTGACGTTAGACACCTTTTTGCCCACCTAAAAAAAGTCTTTCAACGTGGAAAGTAAAGTTGCTCCCATCAACCAGTTAGTTTGCTAGAAGCAGCATGACTTCAGCATACAGGAAGATTTTGCAAGCAGAAGGGTTATTCTCGTGTGCAGCTCTGCCTACAATAGACCTGACAATACATCCACGCTCTCAAATCTTTGTGTAGTCTGTATGAACAACTACAACCTTTGGCTTACTGCTAACAAAAGTGGGACTCTAATCTGACCTTGAATGTGTACTTACATGTTTATTGAGTCTAAAAATACTGAGTATAGCGTTAAAAACCCCAAACCTTCCTCTAAAAAGCCGAATGCTAGATATGCCAATCACAATATGATTTGTAGTTTCTACAGCTTTTTAGCAATATTAAGATCCAATGAAATAGCCAAGTGCCTTCTGCTGTGTACCTCAGAGCTTTCCATGGGGATGGCCTTTAAAACACATAGATATAAAAAACCACTATTGTTGTAACACTGCTAAATTTATAAATAATATAAATAAAAAGCCCTATTCCTAGAGGTAGGCTCCTACAATGCACATATAAGAGTATCTATGTGTTTATTATTCCCCCAAAAGCCTGTCTGTCTCTAGAAAATAGCTTACCAGAAGCAGGTTAAATATCCACTTTACAGAATTACTCATCACAGACCTACAGCCAACAGCCCTGCACGCAGCACGAACTGCCAGCTCCTTCCCTGACCATATTTGCCAGTGTCCCCCAGGCAGTGACCATTATATCCAGAATGTCACTGATACATAAGCACGAATCCATTCTAGGTCACTATTCAACAGCCTTCGCAAGTCCCACTCTGATGCAGCTTCAACCCAAAGCCAGTGGTAGATAAATACTTGGCATGGCTGTGAAACATAGCCTGGAACATTTATCGATTACTGACTCTCTCGTCTGAATAAGAATTGATTACATTTGATCAGACGCCACTAGACTTCAGTGAGCACGTTAGCTTACAGTGATAAAGCCAGAAGAGCTGTACTGCAGCCAATTTTACAATTTCAATACAAAGTCCAATTAGGGGGATGTTTTGTAATCTAGAACCTGTAATATCTTTTGCCTGAGAGTAAATCAATTGTTGGTTTTCTCAAGATCACAGCTAAAGTGATGAGTTCCTGGAGTTTCACAAATAAACAGAGTGAAATACCAATGGACTAAAAGCTGTTCGTCTAAAATGGACTGACTTCCTCCAGTTTTAATGTATTAACAACCCTCAGTGAAAGGAAGCCTCAAACTACTTAACACCATTGCATTCAACGGTCTCCTTTTCCTTTGCTTGGAGTTAGGTAGGATTCAATACACTTGAGAACAAAAATTGCTCTGAGAAGGAAAAGGGCCAACTCCTCCTCCCCTGGGAGGGAAGGCATCAGCTGGGCCTGAATTTTGCACACTTAAACCTAGTGGATAGCGGCACCAGAATCTGTTACACTGAGTCCAGAATTCGCATTAGGATGGATGTGGAGAGACAACCCCACGGGAGAGGAGAGGCATCTGAAAGATCATCTCTCCCCATTCAGCAATACCCAGACTACACCTGGTGGTATCCCAGAAGAATTTTCTTGAGTTAATCAGAAGACCCAGTGTTAACCACACACAGATGCAGTAAAGTCTGTCCAGTTACCAAATCATCTTCTTTCTACTAGAGAATGACTTTTAAAAGCCCTTAAGGTTACGTCAAGCACAATAGTATTTTCTAATCTTACATTTAGCATATGCATTTCAATAATGAGGAAGCCCAACTTCTCTGAATGTTTCAAAACATACAAAGAAACACCCTGCCTTTACCTGAACTGAGGTTTTAAAAAAATCAGATCAACTGCTACCATTTTGTAATTTGTTCCTAAAACTGGTGAGGGAAGAGAATTTTATCTTCAGAGTTCAAAAGAGCAAATTGTCAGCCTGTTAATAACCTCTCAGCTCCAAAAGTGTTTCCTGCAGAGTGTGGTTGTGGTGGTGACACACAGCCACCTCTGCTGCCTCGAGGAGCCGAGAACGAGGAGCCCAGAGCCCTCTATCATAAAATATCCAGCTCCAGTGATGGGCTAGATTTGATGGGGAGCAGAGGGTAGCGCTTAACAGTGACTGGCAGCCTAAGTCAACTTTTTATAGCCTAGAAAAAAGGAAAGGCTGTGAGAATTCCCAAAGGGAGAGTGTATGTGTGAAGTGTAATATTGATGTCTAACAGCCGCCAGCCAAAATGAAGATTGGTGGAAGCTGCATTTGCTGTTGCTTGGCTGAAGCACAACTACGTGAGCTGGATTTAATCCACTGATGGCTTACAGAGACCCAAACAGGCTTATGTTTTCAGAGTTTGGAATTTAAACTGCCTGAGAAGACATATATTCATGCAGGCAAATACTCACGTGTGCAATAGCCCCTCTGTGCAGAAAAAGGGTTGAAGATTTACAGTTACTTCTGTAGATACAACTTGTTAACTCAACTGTGGCCAGTTCCTCAGAGCCGTCTCCCACGGGGCACTCTCCTTTCACCTCCCCCAGGTATGCAAAGCCTTAACTTGCTGAAGAGCCAGTGCCAAACTGGTTATACCATGCTGGCGTTTCTCAGGTGGTCTGTCAGAGCTGACATGAACTACACTAGAACACTGGTGTTGGTATGCCAACCGTTCTACAGCAGAGAGGCTTTGCTAAGTACTCCATGGCACTAGGTGACTCCCTTATACATTTAAGTCTTCTGACAGCTACTAACCACTGCTGACGACTTCAGCATGGGAGCTGGAAGAACAGTCAGAAAAAATATCCTGCCCTGCTGCAATGTTCAACTACCAAAGCAATGATGTAACATTTATTTCTCAGCCAAAGACTGCAGGTTAATGCAAGTGTCGTAACATCTAGGGAGATTAGAAATGCTTTCATGACGTTTCTAGATTAGTGTCGGCAAGCCTTTCCTCCTCATCCCTCCTGAGCCCTGTGGTTCTGGAAATCCAGAAAAATCAGAACGCAAAGCATACTGCCCCTAGTATCTGTGTTGAGCATACAGAGTAAATAAACAGAATCAATAGGAAAGTGAGATCAGCAAAAGTCTTTTCAGTTTTAACAAATTAAGAGTCTAAATAGTACAAATAAGGATTTTAAATTACTTATCCCAATATAGACCTTTGTCAGTATTTTATTGCAGTAAAATTCTATTGCCAGGGCCCCTTATTGCAACATCAGTTTTAAAGCCTATCGAGTGAAGCCTGTTCCAGGCAAAGTTCTGCTTAAAACCTGATGGCAGTCTGCACTGACGAGTTTACACGAGCAGAACAGGACCCAACCAGTGCACAGTTTTTGATGGTGAGCTGTCACTGCAAGGAGATAACACCTTGCAAACTTCCTAAAGCAAGCGCAGCATCTACGCTTGCTTGTTGCTCAGGCCCTGTTAGTGCTGGATCCAGCTGTACGGAAAACAGCTCTGTCCACTCTTGCAAATCCCGTGTGGGGACTGATCTCCCCTCCAGGATATATGCATCACCCAAGAGTGAAAATTCAGGTCTGAACTGTCACCTTCCAGAAGCTTGGTGACTTACAGCAAGAGGCTCAGATGCAAAGATTTTAATTCAGATCCTTTCTTCATTCCGAGGCATCTCATGACTTCCCAAGGATGGGGAGGCAGTGTGCCATACCTTCTTCCCCAGGGAGCAAGACTAGGGCGACTCTTTTTACATCTTTTACTCTTTTACTGATGCACATCCCTTCCTCTCCCAAGAGCCTTGCTCCACCTGCATTACTCATTCAACTGCAATGTAATTGGCAGGGTAAAGTACAATTCAAGATGAACGAGGCCGCCGCAGTCAGGATGTCCATAACCAAATTCTCCCTTTGGAATGCAAACAACCTGGCCGCTGCGATGGATCCAACCAGCCCACCCACGTCTTGTTTCCTCTGGGATGAGAAACAGATGAGACTAGGAAATTCTGCAGCACCCATGCACCTTCTCTTCCATTTCCTCCATGGGAGCTTTGAATTTCAAGAGGGGTGGATCCCCACTGGACACTGTGTAATACACTGAGGTCCCATTGGAGCTGTAGGGAGAAGTCCTGGATCCGATTAGGTGTGACTTGGCCTCACCCCCGTTCTCGGCAACTCCTCCCATGCCACTGCCGAAGTGGGTGCTGAGGAAAGGGTGATTGAGGAGTTTGGCTGCAGCCCGCTGCCGCTTAAGTTCGGAGAGCGTTTGATGGTTATGCTCCTTGTAGGCACCCCAGAACTGCTGTGTGTCAGGGAGCCCGGGGTTGCCGTAGGGCAGCATGTGGCCTGGGTTACTGTCAGGGTCAGTGTGCATACTCCAAATGTCCCCATTGGAAAAGGTGTACTGGTAAGTGCTGGCAGATGCCATGAGTCCATTCTGGAGGGGGATTTCAGAGTCACACTGGGTGCTTTTGTTTGCTAACTCCGGAAGGAGGGAAGAGTTCTCCAGCACTGAATTCTGTAATGAGAAGACATGAAAGAAGAGCATCTTCCCCCGACCCTCATAACACAGTTCACCCCTGTGACAACTCCCTAAGGCTGTCACACTAAGCCCTTCCACCAGACAGCAGCACAAACGTTGAATTCACCCACTAGCAGGACCCTGTAATGCTGTGAGCCCCAACCAGGAGCTGGTTCCCAACCAGGAACATGGAACATCAGCTCAGACGGACTCACTTACAAAAAAAATAGATAGATAAGCATATTAATACAACATGACAATAACTGAATTAAAAACAAATAACTGCAAAACAAGATTACAATTCTTTTGTGATTACCAGTTTGTTAGCTCTAACCAAGTTGGTTAGCTGGTTAGAGAAATGCACACGCTATTTTTTCTGAACTTCCTGGTTCACTAGGGCCATATCTCAAAACTATGCAGCTGTAAATCCAAGACAGGCTTTCCACGCGAGTGGGATATCCCAGTTTATACCAAAGGAGAATTTGGTCTTTTGCTTACACCTGATGGATGACGTTTATGAATTTTTCAGCCACCTTCCATCCCCGGGCACCCACTGCTACTGAACCTACGCTACCAGCCCTCCTCGCTGACTCCCGTAATACAGAAGAGATTCCTTACGGGGTCTGTATTCTCCTGGTCAGACCGAGTCTCCCCAATTTCTCCAATGAGACCCGAGTTTCTTCCTTCTTCTGCCGCCCCCAGCTGCTGCCAGACGATGGCTTCTTTCTCGCACTCCTTCCTGTAGAGGTTTGTTCGGTCCGAAAGGCTGGCCCTCCGCACCACCTTCCTGCGGGACAGGGAGAAGGGGCATCGAAGCCGTGAGCAGGACATGACATTCCCTCTTACCCTGTAGCTCTTCTCACCTCCTCCTTGCGCTTCACAGCCTCTCCCACTGGAATGGAACGTGAATTTAGCTTCCTGGCACCCACACAAAGAAAGGCACTAGTGTGGATATTAAAGGTGGGAGGAATTTTAAGGGGTTTTAAAGTAGTACTGCAAATCTGCGTTAGATCTCATACAGCTCAGCTAATGGATCTACTCTGCAACCAGTGAAGTAAATGTAGAGGGAAAGGGCCCACGGGCTGTTTAGGGAGTTTTGTGGTCTGCAGGACTGCTTTGGTGTCTAGTAAACATCTTATAAAGACCTGTGCAAACTGTCTCTGAACACAGTATCTTGGCCATTAGACATATTATTGAGAAGCTCAAGTTAATCCATTTGAAGCACTGATTCTCAGACACCAGTATCAGTGGTTTAACAGAGTAAATTCTCACCACTTGGTTCTCTGTTCGGAGCAGTTCTTAAACCACAACAGTGCAGAGCCATTTTCCCCCTTTAGTGAAAGAACCACTCTTCAAAGGGGCTCTGCCTTCAGCAGAAAGTCAGCTTCTGCCTTTCAGAGTTCGTTCAGAAGGGACAGACACCGGCCGCAGGGTGCTCTGCAACCACATCTGGGTGGCCAAGTAATGCACCGGGTGACCTGCAGGGAACAACGCACTTACCCCCGGCTGCCAGTGCTGGAGGTCCTTCGACTCAGGGAGGATTTATGCCTCATCTGAGACTTCATGATCACATCGTGTTTGTGTTTCAACTCCAGAAGTAATACTTTGAATTCTTCCTCTTCACACAGATCTATGGCACAGGCAAACCAAGCCATTAATCAGACGGTTCAAATGTGGTACCATTAACATCATGTTACTAACTGCGCCTTCCTAGTATATACCACTACAAATGCTAGGAGGAAGAGAAAGGAAATTTAAGCAGAATATGCTTAGGCACATTAATCTCTAAACAAATTAGGGGAGGCAGAATGGTTTGGACACCTAAACAGGAGCAGAAAACAAGAGCTGCTGATTGTGACAGGGGCTCAGCTTTGCAATGATCCAGCTATTCAGCTAGGTTTTGTCCCATCTCTGCAGCATTCTGTGCCTTTATCCGTGAAAGGGTGAGAGATCTATTGACCACTGTATCAATGCTTCAAGATGGGAGGAAAAGAAGTTTCTGTAATTACCAGACTGCAGCTCCCCTGAATACTTTTTTACTTAAGCCTCCAAAATAAGAAAGAATATAGACAAAAGCAAAGCAGATCAGGGTAGAAGACAAGAACTTTCAACCTTCAAAGCAAGGATGCACAGATTTTTCAATTAAGGCTCATAAAACCTTTTGACAAAAGAAAATGTGGCGCAAGGTTATAATACACATGGTCAGATGCTAGCACTTTGGCATTTTTACTTCCAATCTGTTCCAAGATTTGTGTGTGCTTTCTCTTTCCTCTCCAACCCCTTATAGCTTACCATACTTCATTGCATCAAAGCAAAGTTAGACACCCAAGTCTTAGGGCTGCACTCAACAGCTGCCCAGGTCCAAGACTACAATATAAGATCAGGGAGACTCCCAAGCACAGGTACAGAGGGATAACATAAGTGGAAACACACAGGAGAAAGACTTAGTGCTTGAGAAATTCCTTCTCCCTTGTTTGTATGAGCAGGAAGAACCGTTTTCAGAAGTAACAAAGTAGGCACTTCAAAACTTCAGTCCCAATTAAAGTAACTGCAACTTGGATTATAAAGACACCTGAAAAATAACATTAATGCTTCTGAAAGCACCATGTGAAGACTCCAGCACGCTTAGGAGGAAAAGCTTTTCTTAGCAATCTCTTTTTTTTAAGCTTAGTAAACTCACCTATTGGCATCTCATCCAAAGATGTCCTGGCACTCAAACTAGCCCCATGGGACACAAGCAACTCAGCCATCTGCATCTAAAGAAAGGGAAAGAAAGCCACGTTGATAGAGGTAGTTTAGGCAATCGCTTTCCTCCTCAAAGCTTAGAAGTTGGAATAGGATAAGAAGCAATGGCATGCATGCTCAACTCGCCTCAAATTATTCTGGTATGTGTGTGATGTTAAACATTGTTCCTACCATTCAACTGCACAGACATACTCTCCCTGAACTTTCTCAGCAACAGGTTCTTTTTGGAGCCCCAAGGACCTCATCTGACACTGTCCAGTGAGTCCAGCCCTAGTACAGATTTCTTCCCTTTGCAGAGTACTCCACAATTTGTCCAGGCAGAAAGAAATGTCACCCTCATACATGACATTTGCAACAAAATCATTACCTGTCCCCAGAAAGCAGCAGCATGAAGAGGTTCCCAGCCGTCCCAGTCCTTAATATCCAGGCTTGCCCCCTGGTCAAGAAGGACTTCAGCTGCGTGCAGATAACCATTGGCTGCAGCTATATGCAGCTAAGGAGACAAGGAACAGAGCGTGAACCCCCTGCAAGGACCACGAACGGTTTTATACACCAAGTTTCAGTGGAATTTCTTGGATAACGTCTGAGTCTAGATCTGGACAGGCAGCACATTTCACATTTGGCAGATGCCATCAGGTCAAAAGCAGGTTGTTCCCGTTACTGAAACTCAGTATTACCTGCACATAATTCTGTTTGGAGAAGAAACTGCTTAACAGTTCTTAAAATAACTTACATATATGGGTTAGAAAAATAATGTTTTCACATTTTAAATCAAGGGCTCTTAAGTGCTTCCCAATCGGTAGGGAAACAGCACCATCAAAACGCAAGCCTGCAATGGAGAACATCACCCACTGTAAACTCTGCATTCCTCATGCCAGAAGAATGTCTCCTCTTCCCCACTTAAGTGCTGTGGATGTGATTCTTTTGATCAAATTTTCAGTCTGCTTTAGTCAGGACTCCCTTCGTGCAATTGCACTTCTACTTACGCTATAATTGTTTTCACCATTTGAAAATCAAAAACATTTTAATCCTTGGCTACTTTTAGTTAAAGGAATATGATTTTTAAGATATTGGCTTCCAACTACAACCATCATCACTTTGGAGACATCAATAATAGTCTCCTTTAGTCCCCCACGACACTTCATGTCTCTGAAGATTTTTATAATTGCGGTCTGCTGTTGCATCTCTGAGCAAAACATTGACCTATGCACTTCTGAAGGTCTGAACTCCACTCAGAGCTCACCCTATTTCAACTGTGCTGAAAAGGAGAATTAAAGCTTCTTTTCAAAAATTTCCAAGTAGATTCCACCACACAAAGTAAAACCCTCATCTGGAAATAAATTCTGATGCTTTCTGGCAATTCAGTTAATTTCTACATAAATATTATGGCACTGGGTCATACCCTCTAGAGGCCGTATGAATTAACAAGGAATCACTTGGAGGTGATATGAAAAGGGAAGCCAAGGGGTCTGCTTGAATTTATGTATATAATCCTTGTTAAAGGGAAAAAAGTTAAAAAAAAAAAAGCTGCAATAAAAGCATCAGTCATCCGATTATCTTGGAGGGAGCCTGCCCTCCCCTTACACTACACCTATGCTATAGGTGACAATTTAGATTAAGAAAACTGAATGCACTGCCGTGGTCTGGACATCAAACAAATGACACCAAGTGGCCTGGGTATCAGTTATGTCTGGGCTGTATGAAAGTCCCAACACGCGTGACAGCATTATTGAAACTTTCCCTAAATTGGGACTGCTGCGAGCAAGGATTTAAGACACGTTTGCAGGTGAAAAAAACAGGAACAGGACTAGGATTGTTCAGCCTTCCTGGTCCCTGTCCAGACAAACCAGATGCCAGCTGCTTTGTGCTGTACATTTGTCCTGGGTGCTTTCCTCTGCCCAGGGGCAGATGCCATCCTACGTGAATAAACACAGCACTCCATCGACTCTGTATGAACCAGATGCTATGCAAAGCAGAAAGAAGAGGAGGCAGAAATTCTCCAGAGTGCCCAACACCAGATCCTGCTCCCATGAAAACCAGAGGACTCTTACGTCTCCTCCGTGGGAGTCAGATCAGACTACGAGACTAGCGAGAAGCAAGAGATGACCGGGAGGTCGTTCAGTCCCGTTTCCCCGGAGGTCAGCAGAAGTGCTATGTTCTGCAGCTCCTCACTGTGGGATTTCTTGCACCTTTCTTTGGAAGCTACTGGTACCAGCCGCTGTCAGACAGGACGCAGGAGCTCAGCAGCCTTGCTGCAGGACCTGAGCTGCTGGACAACTGACAGAGCTCACATGAACAAGGGATTCGCTTCAAAAAGCGCAGGGTTAGACACTTAGTTATGTCAGCTGTACTCAGGGACAGAGCCTGTTCCTACGTGACAACAAACTAAAACAGGGAAAAAGATCAATATAGCTTCCTCACTCCTCTCAGTGACTTGTACGTGTTGATTTTGTATAACTCCTGCCACAGGGCAGGTTTCGTAACCTACGGGCTGAAGGAAGGCAAAAGCGAAGCCGCAGCAGTTTCACTCACCAGCGTAGCACCTTGGGCATCAGTCCTGTTCAGGTCTTGTCCAGTCGCAAGTATGTCATGAATGTCACAGATCATGACCTGCTCTGGAGCAGCCCGCATCTCATTGATCCTTTCCTGTGTGATTCCTGTTAAAATTCCAGTTAGAGAGAAAAGAGTTGTAAGGAGCCTTTGTCTCCACTGACTGAGTAAAATTAGACTTAATAATTCCTGGTTGATATGACCTCACATCCTTTTCAGAGGCTATGTAGCTGAGGGGACTGACAGCTGTCCTTCACCCTCATCAGTATTTAGGAATCAGAGAAACTAGACAGAGTCAGGTTCCAAGAAATTATGCCAGGCAGCAGCTCTCTGCTTTTCTCCAGAGGCAAATCAAGAGCTGAGAAACAAGGTAATTTTTAGTACTGCATTGACCCATTTTTGTATTTTACGCAAACTCCTTACCTTGATAGGCCATGCAAGTCTCAATGACATCCAGAGTTGGCTCATCTTCACAGAGGTCATACGGCATGTTGCCGTCTGCATTCACTGCCAACAAGTCTGCTCCACTGCAAGGAGAAAGCAACGTTACACAAGAAAGGACCTCAGACATCCTAGAGCAGAGAGTGCCAAACACATAAATGCTTAGCAAAAACTAACTGGCGTTTAATAGTTGCCCAGATGTCACCAAGATTTGTGTGAGATAAGAAAGATCTGAAGCAAAGCCATGGAGCTGTGAATGGGGAAGATAAATTCCAGAAGTGGATGAAAGGCAGCACGCTTCGCCTCCTTCATGGGTTGCGGGGGACATGAGCCACCGAGCCGTTCCTGTCCTCTCCTGATCCTGCCCCTGGACAGACTGGCAGCTTCTCAATGATAGAAGTGATTTATTTGCTGAATTTCTGGGTAACAATGCCAAGCAACTACCAGGTGCTTGTTATCTGGGCATCTGGCAGTCCTTCCATGAAAAGTTTGCAAGGACCAGAAAAGTTGGGAAAGAGAGGGGCTGCGTGGTGGAGGGAGCCTTCCGTCTAGCCAAGGGCACGTTGGCAAAAAATAGCAATTAAAAAAATATCCTGTCAGCTGGTGAAATTTTCTTTCTGATTGTCCAAAAGCACTTCTCTAAGTGCTTTAGTGACCTCCAGGAGGTCACTATTTGGAAGTAAAATTGCCAGCTAAACTGATCACTGTCCCCATATTCCCACATAGTAGAAAATTTCCAGCACCTTCTGAACTGTGCCATTTTAGCTAGCTGTTAAATGGTCTCAGCTGAATTCTGATCTACCTTGACAGTTACCAGCCATGGAAGGACAGCAGACAGTATCCACTTGCATTTAGATTCCTGTTTCTTTATTCAGTTTTTTCTCCTCTGCCTGAGCAGAGCAAACTACATTGAAATTCACATTTGCAAAGTACCAGCGTTAGTTTAATCTGCAAATAAAAAAGCAAGGAATTGGACTTCTTTTGGGGGCTCCTTCCTCTGGTGGTCTCCAAGGGTTCCAGGTCCCACCACCAGTAACATTGCCTTCAAAAGCAGTGTTTAACCAGTCATTTGATATGTGACACCTCCTGTAAAGGACAACTTTGATTGTAGCAAACAAATGAAATCACCCCATTCCTCAAAAGTCCAGGGGAAGACTGTTTCTGAGCATGGGATCATGACATTAGGCTACTAGAGTCCAAATTTGCTGGCAACTACTCGACACAGGGCGGTCTATGACAACGAGGGCCATAAACTCCAGTTCCTCACCTTGCCACTCATCCCCATGACACTCCCCTATCTCCAGTTAAGAGTCAGGAATGCACTGTATTGCTCCATATTTGTTTGCTCCATTTTTATGCCTCCCATCCAAAAAATTTCCTAACCCAAGTGGGAACGTCCTCCAAGGGATGATTGTTTGCATCCTCCACTCCACTTCATTATACGGCCAAAGAAGAAGGGCCAAAATTTCAATCCTAGTGTCCCAAATGACAGCATCACAGGAAGAAGTCTCCCTCCCCAAGGGAGAAGCAGCAGGCACTGCTGTGCCAGGCAGCATGTTAATGCTCCCAGAGCACTCTCTGCTCTCTACACCGTCACTCCAGGAGCTGGAGGAGAGCGCTCCGTAGGGAGGCAGGACTATCTGCTCCAGACAGGATTCACAGCAGGTGCTCATTAAACGCTGCACATGGTACAGCTCAAAACACACCCGGCTTCCTCCTCCTTGCTGGCAAGTCTAGAAGAGACTTGAGCTTTAGGGCCTTGGTAAAGTCAAGTGGAAGGTCCAGTGCAAGCACCCTGTGTCACACTGCTGGGGAAGAAACGCATTACAAGAAGCTAACTGGTTACTAATTAAGAGCCAGTAAGACAGGTCACAAAGTTCACCCAAGTATTTGAGCTACACAAACACGCTGCTGTCCTCCTACATCAGTGTCTCTTTGACTGTGGCTGGAAGACCTGAAGTTGTGTTTAAGAGCTTGAGGATGGATCCTGCTGGCTGCTCCTATTTCTACCCATCCAGCAAGCATGGTTCAACAAGCACAAACACACACACGTACACACCAGAATGAAGGCAAAAAGTGGCAAATTTTGGCCCAGTCTCCAGAAGCTTCGTGAAACTGTCAAGTCACCTAGGGTTTTACTGTGTCTCCTCAGCCTCTCTGCTTTTCCTCCTCCACCCCCTTCTCCCCCAAGCAGGAAGGAGTCCCATGAATAGCCTGAAAGCAGGGCATAATCACCACCGCTGCCATCTCGCAAGGTACTAAGCAGTCTCGGTTTCCATCCACAGAAGCTGTGGGTAGAATCAGATCTGCAGAAAGGGACAGACACAAAAAGCCACCTACTGCTGGATGAGGATCTTCACCAGGTTGATATGACCACATGTAGCTGCTGCATGCAACGGAGTCCACAGCTCGTTGTCCTTCGCGTTGACATTGGCCCCATGGTTGAGGAGAAGCTTGACTATCTCTTCGTAGTTGTCTATGCAGCACTGGTGAGGAAGAGATGCAGACAGATTGGGTTTTTTTTTAATTTTGGGATGATGAGGGCTCATACCTGCTCAGTTGTACCAGGGTACCTGGAGACCTACTTTATCCTACAGTGTTTGGCAACAAGCATCTCCGACAGAGTTAAACACTAAATTGAGCACAACCAGGTCAGAACGGCACCATGCATAACACCTACACTGGACAGACTGAAGGTCACTGGTGTTTTACAGGGCCTTCTGGTTTGAGGACAGAACCAGTAGGGAACAATAGCAAATATGCACACAGCTTCTGTTCCACGGGGTCTTCCATATTCAAGAGCAAACACAGCAGGAACTCAACGTAACCAGTATAACCACATAGCAAGGGATGAGCTGACAAGCTGTCATTCCCTTTTCTTAAGGGAAATCCCACACACTGGCATGTGATGAGTAGAAGTCTTCCCAGCAGCTCACGCTACCTACCACAGTTATCTGAAGAAATGCAAGTTGGATTCCCAGAACTATGAGGTACTTCACAGGGCACCTTTCATCTCCTGAAAAAAAATCAGCACCCTTGATGCACTTACACCACAGCCCCAGAGGTAGCCTGCAAGAAGGGTCTCAACTGCCTTCCTTTGGGGAAGGTGGAATTTGCTCTTTGATCCACCTCGTGCTCACTTCTTGACATGAACTTGTGTGTGATAAAGACACTAAAATAAGATTCATTCTTGCGCAAGAAGTCTGTCTGTGGTCTATAGGCATTACTGCAGACCCCCAGGGGAGACTCACAGCTCAGCACTGCAGTATGGGCTTGTAATGGGGCTGAATTACACCCCACAACAAGCATTTTAGCAGCTGAGTGACAAGGACTTGTTATGTATTTCTATTTCTGTTTACTGTTTGTATATGGAAGTGAGGTTAAAATCATGCCTGCCACACAGCCAAGTTATCACAGAAGTGTAACTGCATCTTTCACTGGAAGCCACTGCTAACGGGCAATAGTGTTCACTTAGGAGCCTCCCTCTGTTCAGGGATTCAGTTAATTCTAGGGGATGCAAAGTTCCCATCTCAACTCCCAAATGCACCTTTACAATAACTGATCCTTCAGTGGGCAAGGTGGGATTGTCCATGGCTTCAGTACTAGTGGGGAAAGCAACAAGGCTGTCAGCGTTTCTCTGTGTGCAGACTAACATCTCGTTGGAGAGGTGGTGGTGGGGACCTTTTATTCTTCTAGAAGCCAGTTTGCATTTTTAAGCAAACATCCATCCAGCTTTGAAGAGAGCGAGTGACTTGCAGAAGAATCCAAAATCCCAAGTCAATGGGAGCATTTACGGCAGGGACTAATGGAGAGAAAACCACGAGTCCCCGTTCCGCCCTCGGAGCGAGTGTGACAAGTGTGCCACTGTTCCACGGCAGCGGAGGCGGCAGCTGCCAGGCACGGCGAGTCCCACGGGCCCCCTGCGAGCTGACTCTCCTGATGCTTTCGCACTGAAAATCAGGACTCAGAGGAGGAGTGGGGACGGGGGCCTTAGGAAGAAGAATAGAAAAAGCCTCATGGCATCAGTGCAGAGGCTCTGAGGAAGGACACAGACTTACACACCACTATGGGAAGTCTGTATTTTACTGGCAATCAGCTCCTGCCATCTCATACAGACTTTCGGAAGTCCCTGAGCCTACGGAGAGCAGCAGCAGGCTCTCCAAACATCCTGTGCATCATTTATTTAAACCGCTTTCAAAACTCGTGGGTTGCCAAAGTATTTAAATTTGAGTTAACTTGCTTTAAGAGTTTACAGCCCAGCCCCGCAAAGATGAAAGGGTGGGAGAAATGTTGTTCACATCTGAAACCCAGCCCCAGTTCCTGAGCTCTTATTATCACTGAACAAAGTCTGGGATACAGCAAGAGAAGGGTTTCATCTCAGTTTGCTCCCCAAGAAACAGGATTGCCAGCACAACATGGTGAAGTTTCACTGCTTTAACTGAGCAACAAAATGAAATAGAAGAGGTTTCTCCGTTCTCCCCGGCAGGTCTGCTCAGAGGGCAGTGGGAAGACGCGACAGTGCGGAGCGGCAGGGAGCTGTGACCTCCTCCCACGCCTCACCTGATGCAGTGCAGTTAATCCATCTTCATTGCACAGGTCCGGGCTGATGTTGCTCTTCAGCAAGTAACACACTGTAAGGGAAGGAGAGAGGAGGAAACGAGTCAGAGCAGTAATCTTAACACATCTCTCGCTTTCAGCTAGCCCTGGCCAGTTCAAGACAAAGTCAGGGTGTCCCAGTGCGGGCAGAGCTGCGGGAGACCTCACAGCCAAGAGCTCAAGACTGGCATGAACCCCCAGTTACCGCAGTGCTGGTGAGGAAAAAGCCTTCTTGGTTTTATCCAGCAGAGAGCACCAGCATACAATTTTCCCCAACTTCCTTCCAAAGGAGACTTTGCTAGTACAGCTATCATTTTCATATGGTTGTCTGGAACAATCTACATTTTTATCCTGTGCTTTGCAACATCTGAGTGCAACCACTGCACACTGCAGCCCAGGAGACCTCAAAAGCAATCAGTCATTTCTGGGTCCTGAGTTAAAACGGTAGGAGAGATCTCATTGTGGAAGGGATGAGGATTTGCCTCAAGAAGTTATCAATCTGGGATGGGAAGCCCAATACATTCAGGGGCCTGCCACATCGAAAATACACCGCGGTTGCTTTGGACACTTCACATGAGCTGTTGGGTATTTGAAGAAAGCTTCCCAGAGGCTTTATTTTTTTATTGCTGCTGTGACGGGAAAGGATAAGATTTATTCCATTAAAATGCAAATTTCTGAAACACATGAAAAGCCATTAGCCCCTAGGTAAAAAATAAAGTTTGCTCTGAGGTACAGATCTTGTACAGGGTAAGAGCAATAAGGCTGGCAGAGGAAGTAAATTAATAGCAACACCAGGAACTCTTCAAATTCAACACTGCTGATAGATCTTGATGATCTATACCCATCTTCTGTTGTTTACTTGCTCATTCCCCACTTTTTCTCCAGAGATTTCGCTACCTAATGCTTTTCCCACCCCAAATGTCACTGACAGCACAGGCACAAGCCAGAGGTTCATCATCATCTCCCTGGGGCCAGGGTAGCAACAGATATTCAAGTCTTATTTGTTGGCAAAGATGCAACCATTAAGCGTAACCAGAGCTGCAAAATAAGGAACGGTAACAAAGCTAAAAGGGCAATAACCACCTTCAGAGCTGGCAATCGAAAAGACTGCAAGGCCGGCCACTCCCAAAGCGTCCTGCAGCATCTGCTTCTGCTGCTTTTGACCGAAGGCTGTCCCACTGTTAGAGGGAGCTCTTTCCCCAGCACATCAGGGCTGTCCCTGGGGACAGAGAGCACTTCTGGCATCCAAAGTAGAATATGGAAAACACGTCCACAATGACATCAATGTTGATTTATGAAGCTTTGTTTAAAAGATCTGGAAAATGCACTCACAAGAAAGGCAAATCGAAACCAAAGTGAAATTTTCTTTGGAAGCCACCGGTCTGACGTTATCGAAAAAGGAAGGCAAAACCAGACAGAAGTGAAATAAAACACTTTGTATCACAGGATTGTTTCACCCAACGCAAAATGAACGCTGGAATTTACGTTTGCTGGAAACGATTTCAAGGCATTGACACCTGCTCGATGAAACTGATACAAAAAAGCAGAATACAACAAAGAACAAAACTCATCCCCCACCGCGGCGAGTCCAAAGAGTCTGAGTTTTTTCCAGCTCAAAGGCCAGTGCAGGAAGCCCACGCCTACACTCAGCTCGCACCCCCCGACGCTTGCATGCTTGACAGTAATAAGAGCGCTGAACCCCAGCCAGTATATCCAATTTAATGACTGTGCTTCTACTGTTTCTGGCCAGCCCCAAGCTCCTGTTCTCCTAATCCAAGCTGAGGGATAGGGGAGTCATTCATCAGTGGATCTGGTTGTCTCTTATTTACTTGGGATGCTCTGCCATTAGGGTTTTAATTCAATCTCAGTCATTTAAGAGCTATTGTGTACTAATGATGTGCAGCTCCATAATCACGTTTTGCCTGATTATGGAGATTTGGACAAGTAGATGCTGGCAGATTAACCTTACAAGTGCTGTCCCTCCATGGGAAGAAGCAGTAGCATAAATCCCAGCTTGTTATGGAGTATGGGGGTTTGTGTTGAAGGCTCTGCGATCATGGCTTGACAGAGCTTGTAAGAGTCCTTGAAGGGTTAAGATTCAGAGAAGGATTTATCCTACCCTAAAGCAGCTTTGAATTCCCCATTAACCCCTGCAGCAGCCCTCATGTTCGCAGCGCACCTCCCCTTGGCTCCCATCTGCCCTCGGGACCAGCTCGCCACAGCCCTCAAAACATTTCCCAGTATCTCCCAACACACCGAAGATTGACAACCACAAGACACCAGAAAAGAGCACAGGAAAGTCAGGTAATGAAGCTAGGTATGGACGTGGTACCAATGAGTCCAGGCAAACGTGGCTTGAAGAAGAGCTCAAACTCCTTTCCAACCAGTCCTAGGCTGAAGGTTGCATCTCGGGGTTCGGCAGGGGAGCACAGGGCTGGGCAGCAACGAGTCCTGGCTCTTTCCTCTAAAGTCAGAGGGATGTTGCCTTCCGTATTCCTCATGCTCCAGACAACAGATCCCAACAGCTAGGCAGAAGTCTCCAAGAACTGCAATTTCGTTTTACATACACCCCCTTTCACAAGCGAGGGGATTTGCCCAGCGTCCCACCAAGCTTGTAGCAGAACGCAGCAGCAGGGCATGGGGTGGCAAAGAGCAGCTTCACCACCCCTGCTCCCTGCGGGCAGACCTGCAGAGGGACCTGGAGGGAGGACATGGACATCTTCCCCAGGCCCACGACCCAGGAACAACACCTCCCACATGGCCAGGAAGAACAAGTCCTCCTTTCTGACAAACTTCAGGAGAAAAGTGCATTTGTGGGTTTTCCAGTGCCTTAAGAATAGGAAAGGGGGGGCACAACTGCAGTGCTGGAAGCCGGACCCTCAGCTCCAGGGCTGTGGCACTGCCACTGACCCACTCCGCTGCTTAATGCACGACATAAAGGACAGGGACCTGAGCAACCAAAGCGCTTCTCTTCAAGCCTGCCGCTGCCGCACGCCTCGCCGCAAAGCCCAACACCTTCTCCTCCCGCCTCCAGGCACAAATGATGCCATACAGGTAGGAAGCGTACGCTTCAGCTCGCGAGGACGCAGATTAATTACTCGACGCCAGCTGATCGCCTTCTGTCGGCTCAAGCCTTAGCACACCGCCGGTGACAGGAAGATCCCCCCGTACGCCCAAGGTATAGCATGGGAACGGGTCTTCCGCAAGCCCCTCTGCGAGCTGCGGTCACTCCCAGCCCAACAGAATGGGCTTTTA